ATGTGGAAATATTAGCATAATGCCGCCCAAATGTGCACGCAAAGAAAGAAGGCATGGTTTCAGGAACAGCAGTAGTGTTGATGCAGCCATGTCAGGGAGACGGTGTGTTTCAGTGCGAAAGCAAAAGCACTTTATACAAAAGCACAACCCAGATGTTCGAATTTGTGCAACGTATTTTATGGACGACAGATTTTTGAACCTAGAAGAGTACAAGGCTGGCTGTGCACAAAGGCAATTTCAAAAAAAAAAAAAAAGGGCCAATTCTGTGCTTCTGAATCAGCGACTGTAAGTATGTTTTGTTATTAGTTTAAGTATTTGCTATTGACTGTTCAAATGCGGAGTTTTGTGCATCGCAGAGTAACACGTCATGTGTGTGTGTGTGTGAGGGGAACAGGGTCACATCACAGGAGAGTGAACTGTCTGTCAGAAATCATAGCACGTCAGCCGTCTTAACTGCGGCTTGTGTACTGCAGCATCACTGTGTCTGTCACGCGACTCTGTTGCCCCTTTGGGCTTGAACTGATGGTAAAACTAACAACATTATTAACTGTCTTGATATTTACTTTGAAAGCTGAAGCTGCGATTATGGTAAGGGGCGTTACATTTCCTGTGCGTGCTTGTGGTGTTCGGCCAATCACAATGCACTGGGTCAGCTGGCCAATCAGAACAGACTGCGCTTGTCAAAGAAGGAGGCTTTGTTGAAAACGACGTGTTTGAGAGAGGCGGGGCATAGAGGACCTACAATAATGTACAGTATTTGAAAAATAATGTGTTTTTTTTAACATTAAAGCATGTCAACATATTCTGTTACACCAAATACACCAAATACTTTAAAATAGCATCATATGACCACTTTAAGTCTTTAGTATCAAGGTAAAAAAAAATTAAATTAAAATCAGAAACTGGGCAGCATCCAGGTAACATCCCAGCGCCGAGCACTTGCTATTGCTAACCGACATCCTTCTCCAGAGATATGAGCAGTCTGAGCCAGAGCAATATCACAAGTGTGTGCTGCTGTTATGATGATGCTGCTCTTGGAGGAGTCGTGTGGGCATGAAAGAATTTGAACAGAACAATGACAGTGATAAACCAAACAGGTTGCAGAGACTATAAGAGTAGGGCCGCCATAAAATCTTGAGACTTATCGAAAAACATGATTGCATTTGAAAAGATCTCGGCTGTCACAAAGAACTCTGAATGGATGAGGGACACCGGCGTTCCAGCAATCTGGAAATGGAAATGATACCACATCTGCTCTGTTGAAATCTTTCTCTGAGCGTCAAAAACAAACAGAAAGTGTGAACACAGCAAAAACAGAAGACAAGATGATTCAAATCAGTTAGAAATGAAAGAGAACTTGATTCGCTGCATGAACACGACGTGAAACTCAGTACAACTAGTAGTTCTAGGAATGTTTTGCTAACATTCCCATTAAGTTATGAAAATGTTATTTCAGAATGTTCAAAACATGCAATTTTTTATGAAAAAGTTTTTTCTTGGTGATATGTTACCATTAAGGAATCATTCAATTTGATCATTTGGCAAACATTATGGGAACGTTACTTTTGAATGTTCTCTGAACAAGTATTACATTTAAAAACGTTACACAACATATCAAGACAAAATTATTAAAAGTCATGGCAAGGTTTATAAAATCTCTGAGCTTTATTATGCTTAAAAATGTTTTGCAATTTGGCATCTGTCCGTGAAATCAATTGTTAAACGTTTCAAAGCACTTTACAATCATAAACCAGTTACATTTGCATTAGAGGTCAAATTAGAGCCCACACTAGGGCTGCACGATAAATCGAAATGGAATCGAGATCCTGATTCGACAGAAGCTGCGATTGTCATGCGTATCTTTCAGTGAAGCACGGTTCTGTGATCAGCAGTAAATCTCCATCCAAAGGCCAGAGGGCGCTCTCGCGCTGAAACTCTAAATACGCCTGCAGTAGAAATCGCTGCAGCTGAATAAACAGAAGATTCAACTGCTTTCATTGATTCAACGTGACTAATAAACACACGACTACGGCAATATACGGTTTATCTGAGTTCTTATTATTATAATTTTCATTAAAATAAAGTAGATTTATAATGCAATGCCTTTATCACTGCTTAAATACAATGAAATGTTGCGTGCCTTATTCTGTGTAAGAAGCCACATCATCTCACAGAAGGATTTATTTCAAACACTCGACTGACGTTATGAAGTGAGTTTGGAGTAAAAATATGTTATTAAATGTGGTATTTTCACATGCTTTCAGATGGAGCAGCATTTACTACACAGAGCCGTAGTTCACTGAGAAGCTATGCAAACAGCTTTCATTATCACAGAACGATTTCTTCGATTTTAGAATCGCACAATAAAATCGTCTGCAATTTTTTGGCGTAACTTGTCAGTGAACTACGTCTATGTGTATTAAATGCTGCTCCATCTGAAAGCACGTGATGATGATTTCCTGCTGATTACAGAACCGGCATTACTAACAAAATGCGCATGACATTCGCATTCGATTAATCGTGCAACCCTAGCCCACACAGACATATCTATTGAATAGAGTTGAGTATACATATATGTGCATGGCCATGTCGCCCGCAATTCTCCTTTTAGATCGTCTTGAAATGACAGTAAATAATGACTTTTTTTGAGTGAACTATCCCTTTAAAGGCTCAATACCAGCTCACTATCATACAGAGTTCATATATTGATATTCAAATGTTGTCGCGACGTCCCTTCACTTCAGTCGGGGCAGCCATCAATCTACAGATGACAGTCAACACCAGTTAGAGCACAATTCTCCAAAACCATTGACCTTGCAAGAGAATGGTGTGAAAATCCCCACCAAATTACCATTAACGGCGCGAGTTGGTGTCAAAACCACAACCAAAATCACCACTGTTTCCATATAATAATATAAAACATAGTATCAAGTTCAGCACTTGCAATCAGGTGGGTCATTATGCTTAGGGTGACCATACATAGAAGTTTGGGACATGGCAAAAATAATAACATCCATTCAAACCAAAGTTGTGAAATGCATTTGCAACTAATATGGTTTTCATCTTCGAAAATTGTGAGTTTAATATTTTATTTAGGCTATTAAGATGGGGGCACAAAAATGTACCGCACTTTAGGAACGACCCAATAAATCAAGTGCATTATTTCTAAACACTTCTCTGCTAAGTTTCCCCACGCAAATCACCTCTCCCAGTAGAGAACATGAAGCACTAATGTGCATGTCCACGCAAACACCTTTCCTCCAGTACTGCAGTGCACTGAGCGTGCTATAAATCACCTTATATTACCATAGCGCTCTTACAGTCCCCGCCCATCTGTGCGCACGATTGGCCGAATCTCCTCCTCGATGCCCGGCCCACTTCATTGACGCTCGCTGATTGGTGGAGGAGAGTCTCCTTGAGCTGTCAATCAGACGCTTCTTTCGTGCTCCGCTCTGAAGCGAAGCACAGTGATTCTGATTCCGTTAGAGCATCCCACTAAGCTCTCTTTTTCTGTGGATGCCCTTGTATTGAAGCAAAAAATCTGAGGTTTACATAATCATTTTTTTCGCGCAAGGATTTCTTTATATATTCTCTGGCACTCCAAACGCCAACAGATTGTGTTTGGTCTCCTTGCAAAGGGTCACTTGGGAAAATCGACCCGTCTTGTGGCACTCCTGACACACTTGGAAGATTTGTAGACTGCGGACGTTTCGTGAAATAGGACACAAGGACGGACAACCGCGGTTTATGCGTGTTCCCGTTCATAGAAGATAAAACCGGACTGTTTGCTGCAAGAACTGACAGAGAAATAACAAACAATCAACTCAAAACATTACAAATGCCGAAAAAAAATCTTGAGTGTACTTTCTTAAAAATAAAGGTTCTTTATTGGCATTGGTTTCATAAAGAACCTTTAACATCCATGGAATCATTCCATGGAATTGAGGAACCAAAATTGGTTCTTCTATGGAGTTTATTAGTTTCAAAAAGTACCATGTCTGATACCATCCCTGTACCTCGGTGCCAACCACGGTACTTTTATGCAAATGACTCATTAGTCTCTACATCAAAGGCAGAGGGGTTCCTGTTCTTAAAACATGTTTAGTTCCATTAGCTCATTCTTTCTTCAACATTACCAGGACTTATTCGACAATGCCGCAGTGGGATTGTGGGCAGCTCACCGGTACCTGGAAGATTTCTGGTTCCCATTCAGTCAGTCACGTTCAACGTTACGTCAGTGACTGACGAATTGGGATCTCGCCCGAGAGCCCAATCACCTTCGAGTGTTAACTAAACAAGCCAATGACAGTTGGCGTGCGTGTTTCGCCACGCGCACCCCGCCCCGCAGCGCGGATATAAAAGGAGAGCGCGTGCAAACGCACATCTGCCCTGGTTTTGTATGCTTGAGCAGGTCACGTGACCTTCACTTTAGTGCAACATGCATCACCATTTCCCCTTGACCCAACACAGATGCCCTGAACGGACAGAGGCTGCTTAACGGCCTTTATTTAATCGAATTAAAATGATGCAGCCTTGACTGACCTAGTCAAGTCAGAAAGTTAACAAAATATCAAAGATGAGAGTTCCAAAACGAGTCATGAATCAGTATCTCTTTAGTTGTCTTTTTAAGACTAATTGCTTTAAATTTGGGAGAGAGAGAGAAAGAGAAAGAGAGAATCTGCATGGGCATATTTTGCATCGACATTTTGTTTTCACTGTGAATACTAATCACACTGCAACACAATAATCCCTGCAGGGTATCTAAGGGCTCTTTCACAGCAGAACTTTTGCTGCAGACTCAGGTCTGTTTGACATCAGAGCTCGGTTGGTTTGGTTTGTATGGTTCATGTGGAATAACTGAAGCGAGTGTGGATGCCGTATAATTTGCCTGTTGTGGTATGAAGCATTACTCGGTGCATTTCTTGGGATGCAGATACTGTAGAAATGTCCTTGTGTGCATGTTAAATTTAGGGCGGAAAACAAGGGACAAATATTAATAACACTTGAATCTGGCATCTTTTCTTGAATCGTTAACTGGTTAGAATGGTAAACAGCTGCTGATATTATTGATATTAATGAGGCAATCACGAAGTTGAACTCATTTTGGACCCAAAAATTTGACTAGTTTGACAACAGCCTGAGTGCATTTGCTCTAACGTGTGTCACGACATTGAAGGCTTTTACTTTTATTGCTAATCCACATTTGCAACCTTAAGTTACAGTTATTTTCTTAATAATAAAAGTAATTTAAGCTCCCAAGCATCACCAGAGCATGCAACTTGTCTTTGAAAAACTCCATATAAAATATCTGCCAAATTCATAAATGTGTGTGTGTGTATTTATATATATACATATTATATATATATAATGGCTTCTCTCTAAAAATATTTACTTTTTTTAACATCACACATATAATTTCACTGCTACTTTAATTAATCCACATTTGCAACCTTAAGGTACAGGCATTTTCTTGGAATAAAAGTCGTTTATGCTCCCAAGCATCATCAAAGCATGCAATTTGTCTGTAAATTATGCTTGTCTTTGAACAAACTTTAAATTGCTTCATATAAAAGCATCTGCAAAATCTGCATATAAAACATTTTTAGATTAATGAGTTGGCCTCTGTTATATATACAGTATATATAACTTTTTTTTATTTTTTATATCTCACTCACAATTTCTCTGCTACTTTTATTACTAATCCAGATTTGCAACCTTAATTTACAGATATTTTCTTGGAATAAAAGTAATGTAAGCTCCCAAGCATCACAAAGCATGCATCTTGTCTTTGAAAAACTCCAAATTGCTTGAGATAGAAGCATCTGGCAAATGCATAAATGTTATTTATTTATTTATTTACCATCAACCTTATAAAATATTTTTAGATCACCTATAATGAATTGACTTCTTTTTAAAAAATATTAACTTTTTTTGGACATCACACATAAAATGTTACTACTGCTTTTATTCCTAATCCACATTTGCAACCTTAATTTACAGATATTTTCTGTTCCCAAGCATCATCAAAGCATGCATCTTGTCCTTAAAGTATGCTTGTTTTTGAATTAACTCCAAATTGCTTTAGACTAGAGCACCTGGCAAATGCATGAATGTATTTTTTTTTTAACTCCAACCTTATATTTTTAGACCACCCATACTGAATTGACTTCTCTTTAAAAAAAAAAAAAAAAAAAATAAAAATAAATATATATATATATATATATATATATATATATGTATATGTAAACATATATATATATATGTGTGTGTAATATTATATTTTTAAATTTCTATATATTTTTTTTTCTTCCTTTTCTTTTTTTTTTGGAACATCTTAAAATAAAAACAAACAATTTCCCTACGTCTTCATTGCTAATCCAAATTTGCAATCTTAAGGTACAGATATGTCTTTAGAATAAGTTATTTCAGCTCCCAAGCATCACCAAAGCATGCAACTTTCCAAAATCACCTGTTGAAAGCGGAGATCATGTGTTGGCAGGCAGTAGGGAGCAGGTGAACCGCTTGTTCAGTAGATCATAACCAATTCTGCACGTTAATGCGGTACACGGTGGGGCAAGTGGGTCAATGCGATGGTTTGTGTTCGATTGTCTTCCCCTTTGCAGGACCAAGATGGTTGGCTGGCAGAGAAAGCGCAATGCAATCCATCCTCTGCCAGCCGAAACAGATGCCCCGTCTTTCAAAACTGGCTCCTATCTTTTTCCATGTGCAGCTCTCCAGGCTTGGCCCTGCTCAGATTCTGTGGCTCTGTGTCTTTTCTGGATCGGTTTGTCTTTGTTGTTGCCGGCTCGAAGTCCATCAGACCTGGCCTGTGCATCTAGTGGGAAGGAGCTGTTGACGTAATCGCATTGCCGGGGTGGGCTGATTCGATCACATTGGGCTTTGAGCCTGAGGTTGCTTATTACACCTGTTGGAAACAGCGCTGACAGATGGTGCTTTTTTGTTTTTTTTGGCGATCTGGACTTTTTAAAATGTGTCGCTAAGGCAATCAAGCCGTAGAGGATTTGTAAACATTTTCCCCACAGATACTAAACCGTTTAGCATGTTATTTCAGCGCAAAACCCTGCATTTTATTCACAAACGGCCCGCAGTCCAGCTCAACCAGATGCTAAATGTGCTGCAGTAGCTCAGCAGCTATGCTTTTCAGCACAAACACTCCTTCTTTTTTATGCAAGTGAAGCTTATAGATTGAGTTTTATTCACAAAAGCGAAATTTACACATACACTCTGACTGCGTTAAAACTTGAAATCTTCTTGCATATATCCATATTTGTTGTTTTAACATTTCACTTCTTGTTTTTGTCATCGTGTTCTTTAAGCAATTCTTAAAAGCAACAATTCAACCCTGACAATAGGTACCTGAAGCAGGCAGTAAACTGTAAAAATTTTATTTTAAAGCATTATTTATGTACATTTTCTAGTGATCATGTAAATATGTTTTCTAAAATCTATAAAGTTTGATCACTTATAGACTGCACCTCATTTAATGTTGCAATCACTTTGGAAATCAGGCAGTAAACAAAACTATATTTATGTACATTTTCTAGTGATCATGTAAATATGTTTTCTATTTGTTTTTAAGCAAAGGCTAATAGATTGCACCTTTTTTTAAGGGGTCATAGGATGCTACATGCACTTTTACAAGTTGTTTGAACTGAAATGTGTGTTGGCAGTGTGTGTACACAACCACCCGATAATGATAAAAATCCACCCAGTGTTTTTTTTAAAAATCTGGTTAAATGTTTTCCCCTTTCTCAAATCGAGCCGATCTCAGATGCCTGGCTGTGTGCCCTCACACATACAGGCCCCTCCCACGATAGTTTGATTGACAGTAGCGTTTCAGCACAGACTGGACTGGTGTCTTACCTTAGCTCCGCCCTGAGTGACTGTCATCAGTCCGCCATTGTTTCACCGCCGGAGCAGACAAGCATGAGGTGTTCTGTTGTTGGATGTAATAATGAACATAGCAGTCGTCATTTACTCCCGACATCTGAGCCGCTGAACTCGCAGTGGATTTCATTTGTTTCTGAAGGGAATGCTCCCCCGATCTGCCTAAATGCGTCTATGTTCGC